ACTTGATCTATCCCCGCTAATTATGTAATTATTTTTTTCCCAACACCAAAACAAAGTAATAAAAAGTAAATTCTTTTCCACTAATGGAATGTTTTATAAAGGGAAGTAATTGTGTTTTCCTAATTTATCAAAGGGAAGTAAGTGCTAAAGGACTAAATATAAATAATTTTCAGACATAATTAGAATTTTTGTTATTTTTTTAAAATTGTGTTTAATGAACATGCCGACAATTATTACTATCAGTTTGAAAAATTAAAATTATTTCCCAACACTTTCAATAGTAATTTTTTAACTGTTAAATTTAGACCATGAGATCGATAATAGTCTAACACTTAAATCCATAAAAGTATGTCAACGACAAACTTATTTTTACAAACAAATATACTGGATTCAGCTTTCTATATTAGATTCGAGAAAGTTTAGGGGAGATCACTCCCGGTTTATTTATTAACATGTTACAAGAAATGACATTTTTACTTTCTCGTATATTAGAAGTAGGCTATAGAGAAAGTCTTGTAATCGTGCAAAATAAAAATCGAGATTTTTACAAATCTTGACGTTTTACATCTCACTGATACGGAAAAACATAATTTTGCAATCTTGTCCGTATGTCTGTGTGTCTGTGTGTCTGTCTGTGTGTATGTGTAAACACGATAACTTGAGTACCGCAACAGCTAGGTTGATGAAATTTCATATATAAGTATTCTATGAAAATCGTAGATCCGTATCAACTTTTGAGCGATTTCCGATAACCGTAAGTGGTACTTTTCCTACTTTGAAATTTTCAAAAGCCTATAACTTACGTACTATTAGAGATAGATAAACGAAATTTCACATGTAAGTTAAAAATCTAATTTTCTACCTTCTGCTAAATTTTGAGTCATTTCCGTTGACAGGAAGTAGTAATTTACGCTACTTCCGATTTCTAAAAAAACTAATGTAAATTTTTAAAATACTAATAATATTGCGCACTATTATGCACTTTTTTATTTGGCGTGCAATTCTTTTGTCTACGAGATTTTTTTCTATTTTTAAAATTTTAAGTATTTAAAATGGATTAAAAATCATGTCTATAGCCCGAGTTCGCATCCCCTGTTATTTTATATAAAAATATTCGAGAAAGTTTAGGGGAGATCACTCCCGGTTTATTGCACTTGCAATGTTTTCTCACTAGCTCTTTAGTATAAAAAAATAAAATAAAATAACGAACATTAAATGAAATATTTTAACAAATTGTCAAGATTTTTTCCTTCATCAAAAGATGTAAAATTATTTCTTGCATAAAATGTTTAAAACAAAAACGTAGCAAATTTACTCGCTAAATAAAGCATCAGATTTAGATTATTGTATAGCAAATTTTTAACTTGATATTAGATTCTAACTAATTCTAAATCAATATTAAACTACACTAATATTGTAATTGATAAAAAGAAAAAAGGAATTGATATTTTGGTTTCAAAATAACTCACACATGAGATGTTTTAGAATAGAGTCATCGAGTGAGCAAAAAAAAAACATGTGTATATACGAGAAAAAGTGAGATATGAGTAGCCGGATTAACGGATTCAAATAAAAAAGAAAAACATACAACGGATCTAGTTAATAACACAACTCCTTTCTGAAACGCTCTACAGTTAATTTTTTTCAATTGGAATCAAACATTACAAATGCATTAGGTTTATTTATACAACGTTAACAAAACAAGCATTCTAATTATCACCAAACAATTTGTCATTGTTTAACAACTCTTGTTTAGTTTGGAGGAAGTGTACAACTGTTTAGTAAAATAAAAAAAAAAAAACCCAGTAAAAATTGAATTGTTATTAAGAATAATACTAGGACAATTGTTTAGATCACTGGATAATTTCTAACAGACGTTTTGTACTGTGTTATCACTGTCATCGATATTGTTGTATTCGCTGCATAGTGGAAGTGTTGGTAATATAAGTACACACTAGAAGATATGTGACACAAAACCTAAGTGGGGCAAACTAGGAGAGAGAGAGGAAGAGAGAGAGAAAGAGAGACAGAGAAGGAGAGGGAGGAAGAGAGAGATAGAATGAGAGAGAGAGAGGGACAGATGGAGGGAGAGAGAGAGACTTGTTAGTTAACGAAACAGGAGAAGAACATGCTTCTTGACCAGGCCTCAGAGAGAAAGAGAGAGAGAAAGAGAGAGAGAGAGAGAGAGAGAGAGACTAGCTACTTACATTTGTTTTCCAGGAGCAGTACATGTTCCTGCACCACGCCGCGCAGGCTGGCATCGCCTGTACAGGCAGCTACACACACATCAGCGCCATCTGTCTCAAACTACATCTCATGAGGAAACTCGTCGACGGGAAAAATAATTTTGAAAATGAATTCAATGTAAGTTTGTATTCAGTGGCTTTGTTTCTTCGTATTGTGATTGTAAATAAAAATATTTTGATGAAAACATCAATGCTCAATGAATAATATTTTTTTTCGATTGCCAAACACTCGGCAGCTCTTATTATGCTGGGGTATGGTTCCTTACAACTATATAATATGTTTAATAAATTATGTTTTCGACAATCAGATACAACCAGTATAGTGTGCCGGAATATTTCAAAGGAATACTATGCATTATCTTTTGTAGCAGTTTAGGTTGCCGAAACATAAGTAAAAAAAGCATATTTTGTAGTCGTATCACTTTATAGACTCCATTTCCTCATCTACATTGGTTGCAGCCTCATTAGCCTCGGGGTAGGTGCTTGGGTCAGCCAACCTAACCTAAATAAGAATTAGTTACACATTACCTACTGTTAAACATGTGCTTTTACAACATGATTTTTATTCAAGTAAATCACTATTAAATTGGTGTTCAATACCCATTATTTCAGAATCTGTTTAGTTTGGAGACACAACTTACTGGTGGTGTAGGGGACGTTACCCAAGATCCAAAAAGTAAAAATAGATTCTTCATTATACCAGGTAAGTGAATACCCATAGTAAAAATAGATTCCTCATTATACCAGGTAAGTGTATACCAACAGTAAAGATAGATTCAGAAATTATATCAGGTAAGTGTGGAACATGAGTAAGATGGATTCACCAATCTAGAATCTAAGTATGTAAGAGGTGTAACACAACATTCGACATTGCACCAGGTAAGTGTGCAACGACATTAACTATAGTAAGTGTGAAAATAGATTTTATATTTTACTACTAAGTGTAAAGACAGATTCAACATTCTACTAGTTAAGTGTAAAAATAGGCTCAACATTCTATCACTCAGCGTAACGACAGATTTAACATTCTACATAGTAAGTGTAAATATAGAAACACCATTCTACTTGGTAAGAGTAAATTTTAGAATCGATATTCTACATGGTAAATGTAAATAAAGAATCGACATTCTACCTAGTAAGTGTAAATATAGAATCGACATTCTACCTAATAAATAAAAATATAGAATCGACATTCTACTTGGTCAGTGTAAGTATAGAATCGACGTAAACGCAAACACAAGCGCAAACGCAAGCGAAAACGCAAACACAACCGTAACACAAACACAAACACAAAGACAAGTGCAAATGCAAATGCAGATGCAGATGCAAATGCAAATGCAAATGCAAATGCAAATGCAAATGCAAATGCACAAGCACAAGCACAAGCACAAGCACGTGCACGTGCATGTACACGAACACGTACACGTACACGTACACGTACACGTACACGTACACGTACACGTACACGTACACGTACACGTACACGTACACGTACACGTACACGTACACGTACACGTACACGTACACGTACACGTACACGTACACGTACACGTACACGTACACGTACACGTACACGTACACGTACACGTACACGTACAAGTACACGTACACGTGCACGTGCACATGCACATGCACATGCACATGCACATACACATACACATGCACATACACATGCACATACACATACACATACACATACACATACATATACACATACACATACACATACACATACACATACACATACACATACACATACACATACACATACACATACACATACACATACACATACACATACACATACACATACACATACACATACACATACACATACACATACACATACACATACACATACACATACACATACACATACACATACACATACACATACACATACACATACACATACACATACACATACACATACACATACACATACACATACACATACACATACACATACACATACACATACACATACACATACACATACACATACACATACACATACACATACACATACACATACACATACACATACACATACACATACACATACACATACACATACACATACACATACACATACACATACACATACACATACACATACACATACACATTCACATACACATACACATACGCATACGCATACGCATACGCATACGCATACGCATACGCATACGCATACGCATACACATACACATACACATACACATACACATACACATACACATACACATACACATACACATACACATACACATACACATACACATACACATACACATACACATACACATACACATACACATACACATACACATACACATACACATACACATACACACACACACACACACATACACAAACGCAAACGCAAACACAAACGGAAACGCAAATATAAACACAAGCCTAAACACAAAACAAAACGTAAACGCTATGGCAAACGCATCACTTAAACACAAACACAAACGCTAATGCAAACGCAACACGCAAACGCAAACGCAAACAAAAATGCAAACACAAAATAAAATATAACCGCTAACGCTTTATTAAATTGCTTAATCAAACAAACGGCCGTGTATTCCATTAATTATGTTCTTACTGTCGTGAGTTGAAATGAAGCTTGAGAAACGAAGAAAAAGTAGCTATACTGTTGACTGACGAACGGAAGTAGCGAAATGACACAAGCGCCTTATACTATAAATTATTTCTGATCAATTAACTAATCTATGTATTGTTTAGACAAAAAGTATCAACCTCTTTTACAAGTGCATTCCCCCGGAGAAGAGGGCTATATCAATGCTGTCACATTACCTGTAAGACTCTGTTTTTTCGCTTAGTTTTTAAATGTTTTTAATTGTATACAATCCTAATATATAAAAGCCCATTGCGCACTTCTCTCTCTCTCTCTCTCTCTCTCTCTCTCTCTCTCTCTCTGTTCGCAATATTTTTGAGGCTATATAATCAGTATGTTTAGCGATATATCGAGTACTTAACGATACGGACTTTTGTTGAAAATAATATAGTGGATGTTATAAATGTACAAACTAATTTTTATTTAAAGAAAGAAAATAAAAATTTAGCAATATACAATTGTAGAAACACATTATAAATTATGCAATCGGAAAAGTGTTTATGGTTGTGACAAGATTGACTTGTACTTGATTATTGGGCTATCAATGATTTGTTCTTGATTATTGGGCTAACAATAATTTATACTTGATTATTTTGCTATTAATGATTTGTATCCCATATAAAACCAGAGCCTGTACACCCAGACCAAACAGTTTTTGACCCAGCTGCCCATGCCCACTACGGTCAATGATTTCTGGAGACTGGTCACACAGTATAACGTCTCCTTGATTGTTGCTTTTAAATCATATGAAAAGGACAAGGTAGGTGTATGTGTGTGTATGTGTGTGTGTATGTGTGTGTGTATGTGTTGCAGTAAACGTAAATTTTAAAAAATCCTACGGTCCATGGAACAAGAGAATTAGAGTAGACCAGTTGCAGTATGAAGCGATAATGTGGTTATTACTATGCCAAACCGCCTTTAGATTCCTTAACGTGAGACAGGTACCCATTTAAAGCTGAGTGGACTCAAACCAGGGATCCGAACTCGAGGCTCGAGTTATCAGTTAACAGCTCTACCATTTAACCGCTTTCCTAATTGAGTGCTGTAGTGTAGTGTTTTATGCCAGGTTAAACATTAATAATAGAAGCTAATAATAGAAGCTAATAATAGAAGCGAATAATAGAAGCTAATATTAGAAACTAATAATAGAAGCTAATAATAGAAGCTAAAAATAGAAGCTATTAATAGAAGCTAAAAATAGAAGCTAATAATAGAAGGTAATAATAGAAGCGTGCTGTGTCGAATTCAGTTGTGACCAGGGGTAAGAGATTGGTTCAGATGTTTAAAAATATATCGAGCTGTATATAGGTACCCGACTCAAGCCAACCAAACATAAAATATGGTGAAAGGTTGACTTGATGAGTTGGACGGTAAAAATCTGATGTTGTCACTTCTGCAGCGAGTGGTTTCTTGACGGCCTAATATACAGTTTGTTATACCAAAATCTAAAGCAACCCAACCTTCAGCGTGTAAATGTTGACATAATTTTAACACAAAAAAAAATGTTTTTTTTTCCTCCAGTCCTTAGCTATCTACTTACCTGAAGAACAAGGCCAGCCGTTACAATGTGGGAACATAGCTGTCAATGTCGAGTCAGTAACAACAGCACCAACATGGACAGAAATGAAGCTTACCGTTAAGGTAATGTTGCACAATACACTGCTGACATCTTACACGTTGTTTGAGAACTATATAGCGTACGCTTTTCATCATAGAAACGCGAAATATGCAATTAAGATGTTACACAAAAATACATTATATATATATATATATATATATATATATATATATATATATATATATATATATATAATATATGTAACTATTAAAACATGCATATACATATATATTCATATACAGATATATATATGCATAGAAGTTTGTTTATATAAAATATAAATGTTGGTGTATATTAAAATGTCTACATAGTGTTTATGTTTGTGTTTCGGGATTTTTAAGTTTACTAGTATTAAAATGCTGCTTTGAATTTTTCATTTTTCACCAATGTTTTTTACAATGTAAGAAAGGACACTGTAGCTCGAACTTAATTTTTAAAAAAACATTTTTTTCCCCTTTCTCTTAGGGGAAACAAACGCAAGAAGTGACTCATCTCACGTTTACAGAGCGTCATATCGAACCCAAAAATCTCCTACCGTTTGTTCAATACGCGCGATCGTTGAGAACTCCGGATAAGTCAGTAGTTTACACGTGCAGGCAAGTGTGTTGGTGATGCTTTTTATTTATTTATAGCAACCATATGCGTAATTGTACATGCTTGCATGTTTGTTATGTGTGTTGTCTTTGGTATTGAATATAAGCTTTAACTTACGCCAATCCACCACTAGCTAGACTAAATCTATAACATCAAATAGCATCGTCACCTTCAACCCCCCGACATACACAGTTCCATTAAAGTCACCAACGCAGCATATAGACCGATAGATCTTTAACTGAGACGTCGTAGTGGTGTGGCAGAGCGAACGGTTCGGACATTCCTGACTCTATCCAGGCTTGATGGGTACATGATTGGTGTTTCCGGACATTCCTGACTCTATCCAGGCTTGATGGGTACATGACTGGCGTTGGGGAAAGTAAAGGCGGATGGGGATAGTTTAGCCCCACATTCATATACCAGTGTAAAAAAAGTTATGAAATATACTCCCTTTTCCATATGGATCTTAGAACTTAAGCCTACTTAGTGTTGTATCTAGGATACGTGATACATGGTGTAGTCCCCCCCCCTCCATCCATCGCCATTCTTTTTACAACAACACCAACGTAAAAGTTTACATCTACGAGTCAAATAGAAATTAAGTAAAGTGCAAAACTTACTTAACCATACTATTTTTAACTACTGTAGATAATTAGATATTTGCAGATATAACTGGAGAACTGCAGTATTATTTATAGATGACCATCTGAAGTAAACAAACTTAACTCAGACCTTTGAACTTTAACCTTATGTTTGTATTTTTAATTGTTTTTTCCAAGAAACGGTGCTGAACTGAGTGGACTGGCCTATGTTGTGACAACTCTGATGGACAGACTGGACCAAGAGAACTATTTGACCGTTCCTGTTGTTGTTGGTAAAGTCAAATCCATCAGACCGCACGCCATTCCTACACTTGTAAGTCTAACCAATTATTTTCCTTATCTTACGTTGTCCAAGTACTTGTGTACATTCAATGTGTGCCAATCTACACTTTGCAAATGTTTTCGATTTTTTTTTCTAATTTATGCAACACATACAAAAAAGCCTAATATATATATGTTCTTTGTTTACCTACAGCAACAGTATATACTTGTGTACGAGACAATGAAACTCTACACTGAAGCAGTGATCTCTACAGAGAGGCATCGTGCAGAGTACAGCTCAACTGTCTGATGTGTGTATGCCCTGAGTATCAAAATTGGAAGTCATAGACTCTACTGTTACATATTCTGCATCGCATGTGTTTTATCATGCGCTTTCATTGAGTTTTGTTTTAATTTTTTTTAAATGCGTTACAACACTAATTTCAATTTGAACTCTTCTTTACAAATATTATTCGTATTATAATTTTCATACTTAAATATTTTTAAAAAATATGTTACAGTTTTCAAAGTATTCTATTAAACATAAATTTAAAAGTTGGAAATGAATTTATTTTTCTTTACACAGTGTTTTACTATCTTATTTTTAACATTTAATTAAATGTTTAAACTGGAAATGTGAAAATTGCAACTTAATTTTAATTTGTAATGAAAAATGTGTTTGACATGGTTTAGTAGCGTATACAACGGTTATAAGTGCAGTTAATGTTAATCATTGTGGCCAACTTAGATCCACAGTACAATCATCGTATCCATCACTATTTTCATGTGCATGCCAGGTAAACTTTAGGATGTATTTAAATAATAAGACGTCTTCCATTTCATTATAAACAACCTATTGTTGTAGGCAACTACAATTAGTGTACATGGTGTTTTTTTAACTTCTTACATAACATTAGCTGAAAAACAAATAAACATCACAAATCAAAATTAGAATACGGTATCTAATGAAATGGTACTACAGAAAAACAACTTTTGCTTTAAAAAAAATGCAGTATTATTTTATAGTTTTTCTTTCCTTGAGTAAAATGTTTTTATTTCTCTACTAACAGTTGTGTCATGAGTTGTGTAATATTTTTTTCACGGCTTCATGTTGTACAGTAATTAGTTGTACGTATCACATGCTTCGTTAATGGAAGATAATTTTTTTCACACTTCTCTGTCATGGTCGGGGTGCCTATTTTGTAGATAAAAGGTCACTATTACTATGGTGAAATTAAAGTAACTTACGTCACCATAAGACCTTAAAATACATACGAAAATCTCCATATGAGAGAATCGGGATAAAGTTTGGTACTGTCCACACTGACAAAATAGGTCACAAGGGCATTAGAAAATGGCTGCCTCCGGTCATCAGGAGAAAAAAAGTATAATGTTGTTTGAAAAACGGAGGCAGTTGGTAAACCTAACAGGAGATCTTTACTGATTTATAAAACCTTTGTCAAATACCAAACACATGAAAAAGGTGAATGATACAAAGGAATCGACTCTAACTCTAATAGTTGAACTGTGAAAGTGGGGATAAATAGACTGTCGACTCCCGTCTTTTGCCTTTACCCACAAGTTAGAAGTGATTCAGGCGGTGCTGCCATTCACTAACAGAATTGAAGCATTGATGCGTAACGGCAAACAACAGAAAACCACAGTCCAACTACCTAAAAGAACGTCCGACAAGGCGTCGGTCTGTGTTCACTTTTGGAACCTGACGGTCCATAGGGAAATTGAAGTAGAGTGAACGTGTTTCTGTGGCCTCGGCATATGAGTGGATAGTGTGGTCAGCCGCCTTTACTTTCCCTAACTCGAGTTAGGTACTCATTAGTGCTGGGTGAAATCATGAACGTTCTACCGACTTGAACTCCAAACAGTTGAGTTAGCAGTCTAGGTATTTATCGCTAGACCACGCTGTTGATGTAGCGTGAGGGTAAACAAGAAAAACAACTCACAAGCTAAACATTCAAATGACATAACACAAAGTTTTTCGATTAAAACTTAAAAAAACCGTTTAGTATACAAAACTAGCATAACTGCAATTATGTTAATATTTTAAATGATTTTATATGTAAAATGTATTGGCATGAAATATAGGTATTAAGTAGACATGTGAAGATTCAGCTAAATCAATATTTTGGGGAAAAAACCCGACCCAATATACAACGTGATTTGTACTGTAGACCCTGCATTATAAAAGGCCTGATTAAAACACACCCAAGTTTGACCTTAGTTACTCATGTAGTGTGGAAAGGAGCAGACCAAAATAAATAAAATACGCTAAATTACCTAAAATAGGCTTTAAGCTAAATATAAGTGTTTAGTGAATATTACAACGAAATTAAATTATCTTTTCTGTAGATTATAGAATATATTGTAATGATTAAACATTTTTTTTACATTTTTTTTTACATCCAGTCATTTTCTTGAGTGAACAGTATTGCGTCCCTTGTCTATGTATACATCTCCATTACAAAAGTTTTCAAATGTGTGTAATAACACACATTTATTCAATTATATTTTGCCTACACTCTAGTAAAGTTACTTTAAATTCCTTTACAGTCCGTCGTAAATTTTAATATCAAACATTGAATGTGTCCATTAAAAAACACTTTAGAAACAGAAAAAACAAACAATTTCCAATGTAGTACAGTATCGTAAAGGCATAGTACAGAACAAAACTAAATTAACTCATATATTTAAAATCTTGTTACATAAATGTAACAGGGACTTATATACAGAGCATGTTACACAGAAAAAGATCCAATTAATACACATATGCATAAAAAACTCATATTACTAAGACTTACAGACCCATATAACACAGATCAATTAAATAGACCCAAGTTTAAACTATCTTAACTTGTTAATTCATTAGATCGCCTTTTCCACAAATATGGATGAACGCATTTAAAAAAAAAGCCCTAAAAAACAATTTTTCGAATGTACGCTTGCCCGAACGCGACAAACGCCCGAATGGACACTTGACCAAATGCGACGAACACCCGAATGGACGCATGCGCAAATACGACATACGCCCGAATATTACTTGCCCGAATGCGACTGATTGTATTTCTAGAACTCGTCGAGAGTTGGAACATCCGTTTGGTTGCGGCAAATTAAATTGTAAACAGTGGATCTCTTACAAGAAGTGATGTGAAGGGGAGGGAAGTTGGGTCCCTCACTTGTAGCCTCCCCTGATTGTGTTATCCAAAGACCGGTACTGCTAATGTGTACATAGTTGTAGCCCTTGACTGTGTTGTGTTATGGAATGATAGGTGTTCACGTGGAGACTGATAGTTGACGTGTGCTGTGTCGTGTGTATGTGTACGACAGTTGGTTGCGGAGTTTGGCAGTAGAGTTGACCTGTTTGCTGGGGATTGTTAAATATCTGGTTATTGTATTTTGTTTTATTTATCTTTTAAAATAAACTTGTTATTATAAAACTAAATTATTTTTATTAAGTATCTTGTATAGTTTTGTATGTCATATTATTGTTTGAAAACGGATCATTTAGTAAACCTAACAGGAGATCTTTACTGATTCATAAAGCCTGTGTCAAATTATATTGACCAAACACATGAAAAAGGTGAATGATACAAAGGAATCGACTCTAACTCTTTTAGTTGAACTGTAAAAGTGGTGATAAATAGACTGTCAACTCCCGCCTTTTGCCTTCACAAGACAACCCACCCGATAAACTAAAAGTTGTGTAGGCGGTGAGAACAAAACCCCCTTTACCCACAAGTTAGAAGTGATACGTGCGGTACAGCCATGCACTAACAGAATGGAAGCATTGATGAGTAACGGCAAACAACAGAAAGCCACAGTCCAACTACCTACAAGAAAGTCTGACAAGGCGTATGTCTGTGTTCACTTTTGGAACCTGACGGTCCATAGGGAAAGTGAAGTAGAGTTAACGTGTTTCTGTGACCTCTGCATATGAGTGTGGTCAGCCGCATTTACTTTCCCTAACGTGAGTGAGATACTCATCAGAGCTTGCTGACCTGAACCCAGTGTTAACTCCAGACAATGGGGCAGGTGAAGTAGAGTTAACCTGTTTCTGTGACTCGGCATATGAAAGGGTAGTGTGGTCAGCACTATGCTCAGCCGCCCTACCTTTTCCTAATGTGAGTTATGAACCCATCA